ATGGCTGTGTACAACTGAAGGGTATTTGGGTATACTCCTAGAGTATGTATCCTTTAACAACCAGTAAAATATGCTAAAAAAACAAAAAAAATCTCTTACTCCTTTTAGGGAGCCAGAATTCGTGCTAAAATCAACCAAAAACCAGAACTATATAGTGGGAAGGATGGGCCCCCCAACCAAGAATGAGTCAATGGCAGCAATATGCATATACCTAATCTGTCAGGTATCAGTGAAGGGTGAGGGATCAACTGTTTCATTTGATAAATGGATTAGCACCATATTCTGGAATAGAATGGAAACAAGCTTTGAAAAACAGCTAGAAAAGGCTCAAGTTAATGTGTTATGAAGGTTGGCACCCTCTCCTTTTGGAATATTGGCTCCTTAGACAGTGAAAACACTTCAGTTTCATCAAGAGCTTTCAAACAGGAGATTCTTTTGCTTCTAGGATTTCTATGACCTGCGGATTCTATCTGTAGACTAACAATGTATTTATGTTATCTGATGTAAGAGAACAAAAATATCAGCTCTCTAACCATTTCACTTGTAAGTGCAATGCAGTAATACTGACTCCAAAGGGCACTGTAGGTGACGAATGGTATAAAGAGATTAATGATTATCATACATGGTAAGACTGTCACTGCCACAAAACTTCCTAAACTAGGACACACAGTGACAGTTATTCTTCAAGGGCCAAGAGTGAATACAGACTACACTTTGGGGAAATAAACATCTCTTTGCTTTGGTTGTTTTAATGGGTATATATATTAATTTGAAGAATATGAAAAACCAGAAATTAATTATTCTGCCTACTCAGCTATTTTCTTCTAAGAACTCACAGTACCTTTAACAACCAAAAAATATTTTACAATACTTTAACAAATATATATGTTGTTCATTTTATTTTTTTTATTTTTTAGAGATTTATTTATTTATTATGAATACAACATCCTGCCTCCATGCCAGAAGAGTGCACCAGATCTCATTATGGATGGTTGTGAGCCACTATGTGGTTGCTGGGAATTGAACTCAGGACCTCTGAAGAGCAGTCGGTGCTCTTAACCTCTAAGCCATCTCTCCAGCCAACGGTGTACCCAAGGCTGGCCTCAAACTCAGAGAGATCATCCCTGCATCTGCCTCCTAAGTGTGCACTACCACACTCAGATACAGATGTGCTGGGCACTATTCCTGGGAGTTTACGACACATGCTACACAGAACAAAATACGAGTTCATTTCTATCTCACTGGTTCTCAAGCCAGCCCCAGAAATCCTTTTGAACACAGTTAAGACAGACTACTTGTCACAAGGGAGTGATTCTGTTTGTCTGGGTGGGGGTGGGAGTGAGGGCATGTGCATCCCAGGTGGTGTTGATGATGCTGAATTGTAGAGCATATTTCCAAACTCCTTTTCTAGTCACAGAAAGCCAAGCAATATACTGTATCATAAATATATAAAGTGTTAAGTACATTAGGAAGTAAATATTCTGAGACCTGGTATAGCAGAGTGCGCCTTTAATCCCAGCACTGAGGATGCAGGGGCAGGTGTATTTCTGAGTTCAAGGCCAGCCTGGTCTACAGAGAGAGTTCCAGGTTAGCCAGGGCTACACAGAGAAATAAGAAAACCAAAAATCAAAACAAAGCAAACAAAAAAGAGCATCCTAAGAATAGCTGTATAAAGAGCCAATATTTTAAATGTAAATAAAATAGTAAATTCCAAAATACTAATAATAGCTAGTAGCTCTTGCTATTGCCAGATGGTACTTTTAAGGGCTTTATGTATATTAACTCATTCACTCCTCACAAAAACCCCATGAAGTTAGATGCTGTTTTATCTTGTAAAGGAAAATAGTTTGGTTAAAATAACTTGCAAAGTCACATAGCTACTAAGCCAGTCTGAAGCCAGTCTCTGCCACCCCCTGCCCCAATTTCTCACTATATAAAATCTAGTCTGGAACTCTCTATGTTGCTAGGTGGTTCAGGCTGGCCTTTAACTCACACAAATTCTCGTGTTTCTACATGCCAGGTTCTGGAATTAAAAGTGTTTGCCACTGGGACCGGGCATGGTGGCAAATGCTTTTAATCCCAGCACTCGGGAGGCAGAGGTTGGTAGATCTCTGTGAGTTCAAGGCCAGCCTGATCTACAGAGAGTTCCAGGACAGGCTCCAAAGTCACAGGGAGAAACCCTGTCTGGCGGGGGAGGATGCTTGCCACTGGCAAATTCTTTTTTTTTTTTTTTTTTTTGGTTTTATGAGACAGGGTTTCTCTGTATTGTTTTGGAGGCTGTCGGACCAGCCGGGCCTCGAACTCACAGAGATCTGCCTGCCTCTGCCTCCCCAGTGCTGGGATTAAAGGTGTGCACCACGAACGCCCGGCTTGACAATGGTTTTAATGCCAGTAAAATATTCTGTCATTCTAAATATAGAATACACTCTATAGGTAGACAGTCACATCTACAACTCAAACGAAAACTGCTCCTCATATTTAAGTTCAGCCACTCATCTGATCACGTGAGAAAACATGGAAACTCTTCAATCTTCCTATTCTTATCCACCGGTCTCCTAAATCTGCCTCGGAACCACCTGCTGGATTTAATGCTCACTCTCCAGAGTCCCATGCTTACCTAGTCAACTGCCACGGAAGCTCCTAACACAGCCTCATATCCATTCTCATATCCTCTATCCAGCTACCGCAGCCTTGCTTCTAAAATGAAATCCACATTACTCAGCTGCTTATGTTCCTTACGAATTTCCCCAAGACATCCAAGAGTCTTGTTGTAACACATTCAGGTTCCTCTTCAATGTGGCTGTTTGACTTCCCTCACCCCCCCCCCCAGCCTCTGTCTCACTTATAAGCTAAACTCAATGGTTAGAATTATTTAAAAATTTTCGTTGCCTACCAAACTCCTACATCCCCAACCTCCAATTTCACGATTTTTTTTTTTTTAGGTCGTCTTACTGAAACACAGGACCGCAGATTTAAGAACCTCCTATGCTCCTGGGAGAGGAAGATAACTACGAATTGGGGTGGGGGGTGGACATGACAGGATCCCTAAGAGATGACACCCTGGTGTCTATCTCATCGCACGCCCGTCACTCCAAGTGGCTGCAGGAGACCCTGGGCTTCGGGGGCCTGACAGCAGCAGGGGGCGTGCCCGAATGGGAAGCGGGGAGCCAGGGGTCCGCATCTGGGAAGACAGCACCGGGCGGTGTTCTGGTCTGGTCCCGCCCCCGCCTCACCTGTCCCCGCGGTCCCCAGCAGCTTCTCGGGCACTCCTCGTAGGTCTTCAAGGAGGCCGCGGAAGATCTCGTGCAGCTTCTCGAAATGCTCGGAGGAGGCGGAGGAGGTGGCCATGGCGCAAGCTGCACCTGAGTGTCGGCCTCTGAGATTCCGGGCGCAGGGCCGACTCCCTCCTCAGCGCTCAGCGATCAGCTGCCGGGTCTCGAAGCCATCACCGCGACCGCCGCACCCGGGCCGCCCGGAACCAGGCGCTTCCGGGGTCCTCCGAGCCGGACGCCCTCCCCTGCTGTCACCGCGCGGGCGCCAGGCGCCAAAGCCTGACGGAAAGCCGGGGCGGGGACGACTCCCGGCTACTTCAAGGGCGCGGCGCCGCGCGGAGGACGACCGGACGTCTCCGACCTGGAGACAGCCAGCCGGGGCTGGGGAGGTACCAAGGCTAAGAGCCCTATGGGTCCCGCGGGACGGGCGCCTCGGCCGCCTCAGCGGGCACGCTGGCCCTGCAGTGCATGCTGGGAGTTGTAGTTAAGTGAGGGAGCTGTGCAGGGGCGTGGACGGCCAGCCCTGTTGCGCAGTGACTGGAAAACATAGAAGCCTCTATCAACCTGGCTGTCATCGCAATTCGTTCAGCTCCCAGATTTCGATTATATGTCCACTCTTAACCCTTGATAGGTGAGCATAGTCACGCCTGCCCTCGTATGATAAAACACTGATATTGGGGAGATTGTCACATGCTTTCAGAAGAGGAAAATGGGCTTCTAGGGGCTTCGCCAGTGTAGTTCATTAGGCTGTCCTGGGTTCTCACAACAGGTTAAGCATAGATAGTGTGCAAAGACCAAGTCACATGTTGAACAAAATAGGTTTTGTCTCTGCCTTTGGGTAATTTATGATCTGGTGTGGAAGGCAGACCCGTCTTACCACATCTAATCTTAGCACAAGCAAAGTCCTATATTCCATTTTCCTAGCTGTGTAGGGGAGCGGGTTCCTGGGAATGTTTTGGTGATTTTTGTCTTCGAAGCCCTGGGTTTTACTAGTTTAACTCATTGACCATTGAACTCAGTAAATAAAATGTAATATGCATTGTACAGAGATAACAAAGTCTAGGGTTGTTAGTGGTGGTGCAAAGTCTTGTATTTCTTTTTCTTAGAAAGTTAAAGACGGGCCAGGAGTGGTGTCACATGCTTTTAATTCCAGCACTTGGGAGGCAGAGGCAGGTGGGTCACTGAGTTCAAGATCAGCCTGGTCTACAGAGTTACGGGACAGCCACGGCTACGGAGAAATCCTGCCTCAAAAATAAAAATTCAAATATTTATTTAAGTGTGCGTGCACATGTATGAGTGCAAGTATAGGGTCTGTGGGATCCAGAAGAGGGTTTTGGAACACCTGGAGCTGGAGTTTTATTCAGGTGGTTGTGAGCTGCCTGTCATGCTTGTGAGAGCTGTGTGATCCTAACAGCCATCTCTTCAGCAACATGCTGTCACAGAAATAGAGAGGTACAAATAAGGAGAGCCTGCCATGACCAAGACAAGAGCTGTGGAAACTGACTTTAGGGCAGTGGCATAAAAGGTAAGAAGGAAATAGATGATTTGATGAGGAGTCTGATGATCACAAGCCAAATTCCGGCATGTGGATGGTGGTTGTACTGTAGTGATTCTCAGACACATCATCCGTTAGAAGGGAAATAGCTGCATAACCACAGGAAGTGTTTTCTTTAAATGACAACTAAACTTTTGTTTCATTCTTACAGTTATAATCTGAAACTAAAAACATAATGATTAAAAAGAACCTTTATTTCCATTGACAGTTGAATATAAATTAAGTAAAAATTTAATTCAGTTATTCACTGCATTATCCAGTTTTCCAATTTCCCCATAAACTCACTTTTAAGTATATAGTTTAATGGTCAGAACAAGCCCATCAAAATTATTAATTTACAAATACTAGAAGTTTAAGATTGTAGTCCTATCAGCCTTACCTATTCAGATTAAAATATAAATTGTCAGCCCAAGAAAATAGCAAACTCTCTTAGAGCAACATCCTCCAAGCAAATGATGGGACATGAGGAATCCTGACCCCCTTTGCTGATAAAAGCTCTCCAGAAAAAGCACAGAATCTTAGTCACTTGAAACCATCTCTACTTTCGTTTGCCTCACACGTGCCAGAAAAACACTCACCTCCATTCCTGAAGTTGACATCTTTTTAAACACTCACCTCCATCCCTGAAGTTGACATCTTTTTAAACAAAATGATTTGTGTGTGATGCATGTGCATCTGTGCACTGACATCTGTGCCCATGGAGGCAGACAAGGGAGTTGGATCCTCTAGGAATGAGGTTACAGGTGATTGTGAGCTGCCACGTAGGTCCTAGGACTTGAACCAGGATCTTCTGGAACAGCAGCTAGTGCTAAGCCATCCCAACACCCCCCACACACATCTTAATATTGTTAAGCTAATGTAAGGAAGTGCTCTGAAAGATTATGAAGTTGACTGTAATAACCAGTGTCAGTCCTTAGGATAAATTTTCTAAATAAAGACTTGTTAATTTTTTACTCTTGTGCTTTGAACTTTTTCTTCACCCTCCCCCCACACACAGTTCAATAGTGTGGCTTTCTATAGCTGTCTATTACTGTTTTTCAGGTTTTTAAATTTTCTTTTATTTTTTAGATTCTTAACTGATCCCTTCCTATCACATATTACCTCCCAGGATTTTTCTTTTTAAAACCTTCTTCCCTGCTGCATCTGTACTTCTCAATGACCGATTACACCTGTACAGTGTCTCCTCTTTGCTACATCTGTACTTCTCAATGACCGATTACACATGTACAGTGTCTCCTCTTTGCTGTGTCTCTGATTCTCAGTAGCCGATTATACATGTATAGCGTCTCCCTCTCTTTGCTGTGTGTCTGCTCTCAGTGACCAATTGCACATGTACAGTGTCTCCCTCTCCTTGCTGCATCTCTGCTTCTCAGTGACAGATTACACCTGTGCAGTGTCCCCCTCTCTTTGCAGCCAGACTCTTGAATATCAAAGACTCCACCTGGTTTGCTTCATCTCTGGTCATTTGTCTAAACTATGGTCTCATTTAGGACTTTTCCTTTATGGCTGCTGTGAATTTTGTGGAAACACTCCCAACTACATGAATACACAAGAAGATACACAGAGATCAACACAGTGACAATGAAAAGGCCTTTTCTCATTTCCTAGGAGAAACAAAGGCACAGAAAAGAGGTCTGGGGCCAGTAACTGAAGCCAAGTGACCCAGCTTTTTATAATGCTTCATTACCTCCTCACTGGGCTGAGAAACAGGAAAATGACAGTTTAGCTTTATTTTTATTTCTGCCCTTCTTAGAGAATGAAGCTTGTCTTTGGTCTGGACATGGGAAAGTGTTTCAGTAGCAAACACTTCAGACTGACAGATTTAGTGAAGACTTTCCTCTCAGTATCCAGACGTTGGGGGCCACAAAGGCCTGCTCTTGAGCCAGAACTTCTGGGGTTCCACTGAGGTTGCAAAGGAGCTCTTCAAGGAAAGCTTAGTTGGTTGGGAGGAGCTACATCTAATCCACATTGCCATGCACCAATCCTTCCAGGGCTTCCGTTTTCCTAGGAGTAGCTTTCCAAAAGAAAACAGGAGCTGCAGAGGTCATATGAGGGTCCTCTATCTTAGTCCAGAAACCACTAGAAATGTTGGCAGGAGCAGGAACAAAGTAAGTTGGTACAAACTTAAGGTGTTGAGAGGCACCCCGCAAAGTACTGGGATTTAACTGGATAGACACCAAGCAGGCAAGGCTCCAAGTTCTGCAATTTGTGCTCAAGGTTTTGGCCACTTTGAAGGACAATCATCATCTCATCCATCTTCTTTTGAGTCCAAACCACCACTTACCAATCCAAAGGGAGGCCCAGCAGGTCACAGCTGACATCCCACAGCCGCCTGGCTATTGTCTCATTACGACCTTGGCTAGAGACCCATGCCAAGTGGCAATCACTGGAAGGGAAACAGACATTTGAACTGAGGGTTAAGAATGGAATTTGTGCTGGGTGATGGTGGCACATGTCTTTAATCCCAGCACTCGAGAGGCAGAGGCAGAGGCAGGTGGATCTCTGAGTTCTAGTCTACAGAGCTAGTTCCAGGACATCCAGAACTACACAAACAAACCCTGTCTCAAAAAAACCAAAAAAAAAATTGGATTTGCTTTTTGATTAGTATAAAGAATATGACAGGAAAACAGTCTAGTGTTCACAGGCCCCCAGTACTTCACAGGGACAGTGCTGTCCCATTCTTCTCTGATCTTTCTGTTTGTTGGCATCTCTATGTGTAGTCCAGGCTGGCCTGGCACACTTCCTCTGTGGCTCAGCCTGGCTTCAAACTCATGATCTTTCTGCCTGTAAACCCTGCCTTGAAATGCTGGGATTATAGGCATATGCCACCACATCCAACCTAATCTTCAGTCTTTCTCCCAAGAAAATATTTCTACCTTCTCCCTATACTATCTCTAATCAGAATACTTTGTTTTACAATGTGATCAGTGCCTCCCTGACATCTGCACGGCTCCATCTGCTTCAAATGAGGCTGCAAGGTCTACTCTTCAAGGCCTTGGACAGTGTGCGGGAGCTAAGATCCTGCTGCACACAGTGGCTACAGAAGGCATTGTTACATGAGTAAAGAGGTTGGGGAACCTAGTTCAGTGGTTGAGCATTGCCTGGCATGCTTGAACTCCTATTGTGTTGGGGATATAGTTAAGCCACAGAAAGGTTTCATATGCTTTCTCTGCCTTGCAATAACTGCAGGAAAGATATCTAAACAAATTCTGTACCACCTAGAAAATTCTTTCAATGACAATTCTTTTATTTGTTTTAAATTCTCTGCATCTAGTACATTTCGTATGTGTATGTATGTGTGTATACACCATTCATATGTACATGTGTGTAGTACATGCCATGTGTATATTTGTGTATGTGGAAAGCAGTGTTTGATGTCCAATGTCTTCTTCAATCACCTGCTGCATTATTTTTAGGACAGGGTCTCTCACTGGAACTAGCAGTTATCAACTCAGCTAAACTGGCTGGCCAGCAAGCCTCAAAGATCTTCCTGTCTCTGCCTCCCAGCACTGGGATTACTGGTGTGTTCCCCTGAGCTTGACTTTTCTGTGGGTGCTGGTGAATGAACTTAGGTCCGCATGAGATATGCTAGTTACATGAGAATCATTTTATCCTCTGAGTCTGAAAGAAATGCTGGTGGGAACATGAGCAAAATAATTCTGGACTAACCAAAGTGTTTACCAACTGAGCAACCGCCCTATCACCTCTAGTACATACTCATGCTGGGATTCTCCTTGTCCTTTGTCTCTGATTTGTCCTGCAGGGCAGTAGTTCTCAATTAGGGGTGATATCCCTCTCCCAAGGAAACTTGGTAATGTCACAATGGATGGGGATCTACCAGCATCTAGTAGGGGGAAGATGGGTTACCAAAGGTCTTACTGTGCACAGGGCAGCCTCCCACAAGAAAGGGCAAGTGTTGCAACTCAGAAACTCTGCTTTAGATTTAAACTTTGTTTGCCACTAGCTGTCCTCTGAGGACAGCTGACTTCCTCCCCATGACACCAAGTTATAGTCCAAGCCTTACCTAGCAAGACTTCCTCCCCAGCACTGGTATAGACAGAATCAGAAGTTCTTTCAACTTGCAAGGCTGGCCACAGGTAAATGAGGCATTTGTGTTGTTCTCCAGGACCTAGCCATGCCTCTCTGAACTAGGCATCTATATGTACTCCTCTCCCCTTTAGTCAGCTATTTGGTCACAGCAAGGAGGAAAGTAACTAAAATGGGCCTTTATATCGTAGCACATTAAAAATTAACTTGAATGCATCTTAGCCCCCACTGTAATGCTAAAGCTGTAAAATGGTTAGAAGGAAATATAGTACAGTAGTATGTTCCCGTGACCTTAGGTAAGGAAATGATTCTTGGATACCACACCAAAAGCCCAAATGGCAAAGAAAAATGACAAATTGGACTTAATCAAAATTAAAATTAAACACTTAGGTTAGGGTTATAGCTCAGTGATTGAAGCTCTGGGGTCAGTCCCAGCAAAACACACACACACACACACACACACACACACACACACACACACACACACACTTAAATGTGTTTGAGCTTCAAAGGACACCATTAAAAAAAAGGTGAAATGATAATTCACAGAATATGAAAATACATTTGCAAACATCTATTGTACCAAACAATACAAAGAAAACACCCAAGTTAAAAGTTGGTAGAGGAATTAAAAAGACAGTTCACCAACAAGGATGCACAAATGAACAAAGCACACGAAGATGCTCAACTCAACTGTAGCAGGGAAATGAAAAGGACAAGCTTCTACTTCATACACACGCATGGCTAAGACTAGGAGGTGGGACGAGTGTTGTCCATGACTGTGAAGAAACAGAACGGTCATACACTGCCAGTGAAAATGCAAAATGCTACAGCCACTTTGGAAAAGCTTGGTAGTCCTCTGCAGTTAAACACAAAGTTGTCCCATGGCTCAGAAATTCCACTACAAACCATAAGAAATGTTCATACAAAAATTTCTACACGGGTCTGGTAGATGTCTATGTGGTGGTATGTCTTTAATCCAAGTATTCAGGAGGCAGAGGCATGAGAATCATAATTTCAAGGCCAGCCAAAAACAAACATAAAACCAAAAAACAGAGCTGGCACATTGTAACTCATACCTGTAATTCCAGCAACTTGGGAAGCTGAGACAGGATTACTGCCACAAGTTCTATCTAGGCCAGCCCTGTCTCAAAAACTAAAATGAAAGCAAGCAAATGATAATAATAAAATAATACTTATATGAATGTTTATAGTATTATTTAAATAGCCAGAAAGCAGAATTGTATGTTCATTTTATGTGTGGTATGTGATGCTACGTCCATACAACAAAATATTCTTCATAATTAAAGGTAATTAAATAATGACATATGTTTTGGCATGGATGAAACTTGAAAACATTATGGTAAGTGAAATAAGACACAAAGATTCTAGTTATATGATTCCATTTATATAGAACATCCAGAATGGGCAAATCCTTAGAGACAGAAAGTAGATTAGTGAAACCAGACAGAGGGAACAGTCATTAAAACAGCCCAGGCCTCTGTCAGAGCAGATTTCTATGTTCATTTCTAGATACTCATCTACATGACTGCTGCGAGACCAAATGAAGTAAAATTAATATCCACAGCATGAGAAATTCCTTAAAAGTCAGTTCAATAACCAGATGTGCTGGTGCACACCTATAATCCAAGCATTAGGGAATTAGAGACAGAAAGATTAGGAGTTCAAGGCTAGCTTCAGCTATATAGTGAGTTTGAGGTCAGCATGAGATACAAGAGACCATGTCTCAAAAATAAACAAACAAACAAACACATAAAAAGAGGCCAGTATGGTGATGCCACTTTTAATCCCAGCACTCTGCTCAAGGTCAGCCTGATCTACACAGCAAATTTTAGGACAGCCAAGGCTAAATAGTGAGACCCTGTCTTTAAAAAAAAAAAATCCAAATGCACAGAGCTATGTATTTATCTAGTGTACAGTGCTTTTATAGTTTCTATAGTTCCTAAGCTTCAGATCCTCATTTCTAGCTACCTGTTATACCTTTCTACTAGTGTAGTGTGCAGATACCATATACTAGACACATATAGTCTCGGGTAGACAAGAATCACTTCAACGGAATATCCATTTCATTTTCAATTTTGTGGCAGTAGCAAGCTTAACCTCCTAACCAACTTGTCCTCTTTAGAGAGTGCAAGGGAAATAATGGAACTAAGACTCAAGACAGTTGGTGTTCCCACCCTCCCAAAACAGTTCCCAGAGGGTGTGTCAGACAGCTGACTGGCCACTGACCATTCCAAGTCTGCCCTGTGGTCTTTCCTGCAGATGTAAAGCCATTCCCCTTTAATACTGTAGCCCATTTCCTTCTGGCTTCTTAGCCAGACGTCATGGCCACTGCCTTTGAATTCAGGATCTTCAAGTCACATGCACTCTTTCCCCATGTCCATTTCTCCGCATGTTCTCATCACCCTCCTAGTGCCACACATGTGAAACTGGGTGACAATTCTCTTCCAGCCGCACACTCAATCAGGCACCCACTGAAAACTCAGGCCTCTCTTGTGTAAGCTTCTTTTTCATTCCAGTTGTCATTATTTGAAACCAGGAACTCTGAATCTGACTGGGTTACTTATTCATTCATTTAAAAAAAAAAAAGCTTTTTTTCTTTTCTTTTTCCACTAAAGCATAGATCAGCTTCTATGTCTCTGTGGAACCAATTTCTGGAGCTCCAGAAGTCTGGCATTATTAACTTTTGTCATCCATTTACTCGTGTTTCCAATCCAATACTCTCCTCTAAAATGGAGGTTATTTCAACAATATCCTGACAGTAGAGGTAAAACATTTTATAAGTTTGATCGTATGTGACACATAAATTTTTTACTAAAAATATGGTGACAGGCTGAGCTTAGGGATGGGGCAGGTTTGGCAGTGGGTTGTTGACAACTGAAGCTGGATTAATATGCTATTTATTCTACTTGTGAATATGTTCAAAACTTTCCACAGTAAAAGTTGAGGCAGAGGCAGGCAGACTGTGAGCTTGGGGCCAGTTTGGGCTATACAGCAAGACCGTGTCTCAATAAATAAATAAACAAATAAATAAATAGGAAATAGGACTGGGGGGTTGGCTTAGTTGGTCAAGTGTACGTATGCCTTGCAAGCATGAGGACTCACGTTAAAAAAAAAAAAAAAGCCCAGATGTAATTCCATGGCTGGAGATTAAGACAGGTGAGTTCCTGGGATTCACTGGCCAGTTAGTCTACCTTGACATGTCTCAAGCTAAAGAGAAATCTTGTCTTTCTGTGTCCAGCCCCTTCAAAAGGCGACACCTGTCCCCTGGTTCCCACATGTACAGACACACATGCACCTTCACCCACACTAACATGTATACAACACACCAGAAAAACAAAAGCAGGACAGGGGATATAGCAGTGACAGAACACTTGCCTTAACATTGAAGAGGCCCTGGGTTCCATCCCAGCACAGAGAAAATAATAAAACAAAACAGAAGGGAATCTATTTCAATCTTGAAGATAATAGAGAAATACAGATTAAAACAAAACAGAGGTTGGGGTCCAAAAAAGAAAGAAAACAGGATTGACATGAGAGAGAGAAAAAGTGAAAGAGAACAGAAACAGAGAGAAAACATTATCATTACTATAAAAGAGGATATAAAAATAAAATCAAACCTAGCAGGTACTTCAAAAATTCAAACAGGCCAATTCTCCTATTAAAAGAAAAATCTTAGAGTTAAAGGACAAAAGCTATTTTAGGAAATGTACTTAAATTTTTAAACTTTATTGCTATTTTTATTTTATATGTATGAGTGTTTATCTGTCTGAACATCTGTACACTATGTCCATGCCTGGTGCCTCTGGTGGCCAGAAGAGAGTGTCAGATTTCTGGGAACTAGAGTTAATGACAGTTGTGACTAGGTACTGAGAACAGAACCCAGGACCTCTGAAAGAGCAGCCTGTGCTAACACAGCCATGTCTCCAGCTCTGGGAAACACACTTTATACAAAAGCATGTACTATATCAAACAAACCCAAGTTTTTCCCTTAAGCAATAACAACTCATTTTCAGAGACAGATACATTCATACCTGAAGTGACTGCCACTTAGGCTCTCGAGACCTTCTGTTAAGGCACAGTACAGGCTCGTCTGGGCTCCCTGTTTAGGGGTCTTGATGAAAAGGAAGAAAAGTTGCCACATCCATTTCATAAATGACGAGTGCCGAGTCAAATTAGAATCGACTGTGCCAGGGTGGACAGAATACGTTGTCACTCCAGAGCCTGGGACAGGTCATGTCAAGAAGGAAGATAAGACGATGTTACCAACTAGCCAAAGCAAGGCATGTGAAGACACATATGACCCCATAGACAAAGCCCACGTTTGTGGTGACATCACACGCACTACTCATTGTGATTTATGCATGTTGTACAGATTCAGAAGCCAGGTCCAGAGAGGCTTTTCTTGCTCTAAGGCAGCAGCGTTAGGGCCCAACCTCAGAGCAGTTCTTTACACTGTTGGCATCCTCAAACCCCCTCTTAGGCTTCCATGACCCCATCCTGTCCTAGTGTTCTTAACTCTTTAGATGTCCTCAGTCATCACTTTCTACCCAAACACCAAACCTCAGAATTCCCATGGCTCACTAAACTCCAATCTTACAATTTTACGATGTCCATGCTCTGGCTATCCTGGAAACTCAAAAGATTGGCCTGACTCCTGAGTGCTGGGATTAAAGGCATGCACTGCCACTGCTCAGCTGATGTTCACACTTCTAAAAAGGATTTATTTCTATTTTATTTTGTATATATATATGTGTCTCTCTGTGTGTATGCCATGTGTGTGGGTGCATGAAGACGCCAGAAGATCCCAGGGACTGAACTTGGAGCAAGTGCTCTTAACTGCTGTATGCTAACATTTATAAATCTACACCCCAAACTGCTCCTTTGAATGGGGGTAAATTTGTATTCATTATATGCAAAGACCGCTGAGATCCTGCTAGAACTGTAGTTCCTCATGTATGATACACACACAAGCAAATGCAGAGGAAAATGACTGGCAGCTGCTGACAGTAGTAATTTGGGTTTTTTTTTTAATTTAATTTAAATTAGGAACAAGTTTGCTTCACATGTCAAACCCAGCTCCCTCTCCTGCTCCCCTTCAATTCTCCTCCAGCCCCTCCTCCAATCCCCACTCCACTCTCTAAAGAGGGTGAGGCCGTTCATGGGGGAATCTCGAAAGTGACAGTGGTAATTTGAAGGATGGGGCATGAATGGATGCTTTTTGTCTTTAGTGTACGTCTAAACTGTTTAAACTTTACAGTGAGTATTATCCACACATAACTAGAGTGACTTTACATGTGTTGACTAAAGTAACACTTATTAAATTCTCTCTTCCTCATTTTGATGTAAGGCAAATCAAGGAAGTACCTGAACCTGTCTTGTCCTGCACTTCATCCCCAAACCCTAACTAGGACATGGGATGCATGCCTGTGGGATGGATGATGGATCCTCTCCCGCACTATTGTCCACTTAATCATCACAACTGCAAGGGCTCCCTCACTGTATACTCTGCTTTTACAAAACTCACACTGGATGTATGTCTCTACCTCTGGGTCAGCTTAACTTCCTAACAGCCCTTAGCAGTTCTTAATATCATTTCTCCCTACCCATCCTGAGTTCTTGATATCATTTCTCCCTACCCATCCTGAGTTGATAAAGGATGTCTTGCCCTAGGCACAGAATCAGCATTGGGACAGAGCTGACTACCCTTTGTCTCATCTTGCAACTTTGCGGCTATCTGTCCATGTGGTTTGATTACTGCTTCAACAGTGAAGCTCTAGCTCCTGATTCCTTGAGCTTGAATTCTGTCTGGCTCACCTCCTTAACACTGCCCACTCTAGATTCCCTTTCTCTTTATTAGAAATGCATAGCAGGGGCTGGAGAGATGTTTCAGTGGTTAGGAACACTGTTGCTCTTCCAGAGGTCCTGAGTTCAATTCCCAGTAACCACATGGTGGCTCATAGTCATCTGTAATGAGATCTGGTGCCCTCTTCAGGCGTACACAACAAATAAATAAATCGTCTTTTAAAAATGCACAGCAGATGCCGGGCGTTGGTGGCGCACACCTTTAATCTCAGCACTCGGGAGGCAGAGGCAGGTAGATCTCTGTGAGTTTGAGACCAAGCCTGGTCTACCGAGCGAGTTCCAGGACAGGCTCCAAAACAATACAGAGAAATCCTGTCTCGGAAAAAAACAAACAAACAAAAATGCACAGCAGACAATGATAACTACCTCTGTTTACTTGTAACTACAAATTCCCCTTCTGAAGCATATTTTCCCTCTTATTTTTAAAAAATTATTTTATCGATATGAGTGTTTTGCCTGCATGCATGTACATCACATGTGTGTCTGGTCCCCAAGGAGGTCAGAAGAAGGTATTTGATCTCCTGGATGGTTGAACCACCCCATGGCCATGGAGAGCTGATCCTGGGTCCTTTATAAGAGTAATAAAGTACTCTGAACTGCTAATCATCTCTTCAGCTCTTTAGTTGACCTTTTACTATTAGAGAGATGCCCCCCTCCACCAATCCCAGTTTCATACTAATGTTTGATATTAAGTTCCATTTCACTTATCACTTAGAAGTGAAAAAACCCTGACTTGTTTGTGAGGACTGAATGGATTGTGACAGTGACCCATGAAGCAGTCCTCACTATACCTAGGAGGGACAAAATCTTGGAAATGTCAGTAACTTGCTATAGGTCATACAGCAGTAAGCAGTGGGACCAAGTCTTCAGATTCAAAGTCAGAATTTTCCTGTCCCCAGCCAGCCACCTCCAACAGGCAATGTGGTCTACTTGCAAAACCATCCCCAGTTAGACTCATAGAAGGGGCGCCTGTCCAGGAGATGGGCTCTGGAAAACAGTTCCCATTCTGTGACTTTTCACTATTTCCCATTGACTCCTGACTCTCATACTGCTCTCTCCTCCCAAGCTCACCTTTCAGCCTCCTGGCCAGTTCCTGAGTGAATAGAATGTTGGCTAACTTGCTGTGGCAATAGGCAAGACCTGCACTGTAGAACTTCTCGCCTTGCAGGTTATGGAAATGGATCCTTCCCAGATGATGGGCCAAGGAGGACACATTGACTATCCTTGAAGGGGTCGATTCCTTCAGTTTTTCTAGCAGCAAATAGGTCAAGAGGAAGTGACCTGTTGAGAGAAAGTAGGTGATCAGAGTTGTCCAGCGCCTGTGCTGGGATAAGAAGCATAGTGGCAAGCAGAGCTCAGCTATGGGAGGCAGCCGTGACAGCAGCTGTGATAGGTGAGCTAGGCACTCAGGAACCAGGCCCAGCACTGCAGCTTTTCATTATAAATTAGAGCCCAATGTCACAGGGGATTTAAGGAAATAGAAACAGACAAAGACACAAGACACCCTTATCTAAGGCAGGTCTGTACTAAGGCTATGAGTCCTGTTTCATTTCAACAGAGCTGGGAGCAGACAGTGGCACACACTCTGGAGGCTGAGGCAGAAAGATCAGGAGTTGGAAAGTAATCTGGGCAGCATAACAAGACCTTGTGTGCAAAACAAATGACCATAAAGAGCACATGGCCTCTACCTGATGCTGACCATAAAGATAAGCAACACATAACATCCCCCAGTCTAATCAAGTTGTTCAAATATACCCCAACAGAAGCCAGATCTGAATTACAGATTTAAAAGGTAGAGAGAGGCTGGGCAGTGGTCGCACACGCCTTTAATCCCAGCACTCGGGAGGCAGAGGCAGGTGGAGCTCTGTGAGTTCAAGACCAGCCTGGTCCACAAGAGCTAGTTCCAGGACAGCCTCCAAAGCCACAGAGAAACCCTGTCTCAAAAAAAAAAAAAAAAAAAAAAGTAGAGAGAGGACTTGGAGAGATGGTTCAGTAGTTAAGACAGGAGTGGTTCATATGTGGAGGCTCACAACCACCTGTAACTCCAGCTCTAGGGAATCTGATGCCTTCTTTCAGCTCTGCAGACACACACATGCATATAGCATATACCCACACAGACAGGTGTGTGTGTGTGTGTGTGTGTAGTAGGCAGAACTTGAAGCAGGCCTCAGGGTTGGTTAGCTCTCAGTTAACTATTTACTATGCATGCCCTGAGCCCCAATGAGCCACAGAGAGGGTTCAATCTGACCCCCCGAATTTCCCAAGAGAGTTTTAGGTTCCCTCTGGCTTTGGACTGAGGACAGACTTCTCACCCAAGTGGTTGACTCCAATGTGCATCTCAAAGCCATCTGCCGTCTTGGAGTAGGGACACATCATCACTCCTGCATTGTTGATTAGGATGTGGAGGTGCTTCTCCTCTGCAGCAGGGAGAAAACAGCCATGGCTTTCACATCTTAGAAATCGTCCTCACAACCCAGGCCTAGGCCTCCAAAGAGGGAGAATGAAAGCAGGAATGCAAGACTTCAATATTTTCCCCATATTCCCTTTAGGTTACTTCTTTTTTTTTTTTTTTTAATTGTAAGACTAGGGCTGATCTCACACACTTCTACATAGCAAAATTCCATTTTCCACCACAGAATAGTATGTCTAGGCTCTCCAAAAGCTCCTTACTCCTTATCTTGGAGAAGTGTTCCATCCACCTCTCCCAACAGGAAGACTTGCCAAGCTGAATAGAAAGACGTAGAAGTCATCAGGGAAAGGATGTCCCATAAGCACTCATATGTCTAGGATTTGGCCCAAAGAAACTTGCCACCTCTCTCTTGTAGGTTCATTTGCTTGTATGATTTGTAATTCATGACTGTAAACTCCTAAAAGTGGAAGTTGTTTTCCTTAAGTCTAGATCCCTGGGTGATGGGGCTGGGGCATCCCTGAATAGTACTCTTGGGTCTACTTTTGGTGAAATACCACAGTTTTCTAAAAAATGCCATTGTGTTTATTTCTGTGAGAGAGAGGAAACATGGCATGGAGTACGTGTGCAGGTCAGAGGATAACTTGTGGGAGTCAGTTCTCTCCTTCCACTATGTGGTCCTAAAGATTGAACTCTGGTCATCAGGCGTGGCAGCAAGCACCTTTACCTGCTGAGTCATCTTGCTGGGCCCACAGGTTTTTTGTTTTGTTTTGATTTGGTTTGATTTTTCAAGACAGGGTTTCTCTGTGGCTTTGGAGGCTGTCCTGGAACTAGCTCTTGTAGACCAGGCTGGTCTCAAACTCACAGAGATCCACCTGCCTCTGCCTCCCAAGTGCTGAGAGGTGTGTGCCACCACTGCCTGGCTAGGGCCCACAGGTTTTTAAATTAAGATGCCACAACACTTAGTAGAACCACTTCATGATATAGCTTGGATTCTAATTTCTTGCAGATCTTCCTACATCTCTCCAGATCCTAAGTGTATGTTTGAATGAGATGCCCCCATAAATCCTGGGCATTTGAATACTTGGTCCCTAGTTGGTAGCTTTTTGAAGAGAATGAGGTAGTGTGGCCTTGCTGGAGGAAATATGCCATTGGGGACAGGTTTTTGAGGTTTCAAACGCCTCGTGCCATTCCCAGGACACCCGCTGTCCTGCCTGCAGTTCAAGATGTGAGTTCTCAGCTGCTCTTGCTGCCACGCCTTTGCTCTGCCATCATGGACTCTAACCTTCTGGAACTATAAACCCAATTAAATGCTTCTTTTTTATAAGTTGACTTGGTCATGGTAGCTTATCACAACAAGAGAAAAGTATCCAATATACCAAGAAAGGGTAAGCTTTTTTATTATGGCCCTGAGGTGGGGCCAGGGATTTGCTTTTCTTTTGAGTTCTTATACCACGGACCAAATGGCTCTCTATAAATCTCAACCTTTTATAAAACTCCAGCTTTCAAAGGCCTGAACCTCATCACTTTCCTATCCCAGCATGGATGTTTATGACAGACCCTACCAAGTCCAGCCCGTATTGAGTTCTGATGTTCCTGCTACAATTTTGACTTTAGCTCTTGTTCACTGTTGTGGGTTTGGGACTCTGTGGTGGTTTGAATAAAAATGGCCCCCACAGGCTCATATATATTAATACTTCATCTCTAGTTGGTGAAACTCTTTGGGAAGGATTAGGAGGTGCGGTCTTGTTGGAGAAGGTGTGTTACTGGGGTTTTGAGGTTTCAAAAGCCCATATCATTCCCAATTAGCTATTTCTTCCTGTGGTTACAGATCAGGATGTGATCTCTCAGCTACTGCTCCAGCGCCATGCCTGCCTACCTGCTGCATGTCCCTGGCTATGATGGTCATAGCTTGTAGCCTTCTGGAACTGTGAACTTTTATAAGTTGCCTTAGTCATGGTGTCTCATCATGGCAACAGAAAAATAACTAAGATAGGTTCTCTCTTTGGTTTTGTATCTTGAAGATGTCCCTTTGATCATCATAATGACATAAATAAAATTATGTTGCAATGATCATTAATACATTTAGTCTTTGTCTCCACTTACCAGCTAAGAAGTCTTTGGCAAAGGCTCGAATAGACTTGGTATCAGCGAGGTCCAGTTTCCTTACCAAGACCTGATTGTTCCCTGTGGTGGCTTGGATCTCTTTAGCCACCAATTCCCCCTTTTGCACATCCCGGCAAGCTAAATATACACGGGCTCCTGTCAACCAAATGAAGGAAAAAATGACAACTCTATTTTTAAGTGGTTTGAGAGACTGAACAGATGCTGAATGTTCCAGATATCTTACAAAAACGGGAAGTCTTATTCCTTACTTCACAACAGTGGTATCTGAAGCAAATGAGCAAAGAAAAACTTGAAATGACATGTGTTATTTTTTAAGTTTTTTTGTTAAGTGCCCACTTTATGTAGAGCATCATATAGACTCAGACTATAATAGGAAATTAACGAGTTGTTTGGGGTGTTCTGACATTCCAAATCTGGGAAGAAACAATGAATTTGATCACCACTGTGAGGGGTAAAAAATCAGCAGGGGCGAGCTGAGAGCAGGTGTACTTGCCTCTCTGGGCCAGGTCTTTAGCAGTCTCCTTCCCAATGCCTGTGTTAGCACCAGTGACTATGACTACCTTCCCGTGAAGCTGGACTTTAGATGTACACACCCCACTGGACAGCATCTTCCTAGAGACACAGTAAAACCATATCAGTTCATCATTATCCATTCCTGCTGAGAGCTCCTGCAACTTCACCTGCCTTCCAATGCCAAGGTTGAGTTTGCTTTCATGTCTTCAATGTTATTCTTTTATAAGCTTAAGTTGAAAAGGCCAGCGAAATATGCTTGCCTCAGTTCAATATTCAGGACCCACATGATAGAAAGTGAGAGTTGACTCCTGGAAGTCATTCTCTGATCTCCACATGTACACCATGGTACACAATATACACCCATCCCAATATACAATAAGTATATACACAAAATAAATAAATGTTAAAAAAATGAAAAAGAAGACAGTCTTCTGCTCCTAAGCCATGCATAATCTTACCACTTAGGAGATAGAAGAATCACGTCCAAGGCCAGCCCAGGCTACTAAGCAACTATCTCAAAAAGGAAAACAAACAAAAACTTTATGCTCTTGTTTAAGGATAAAAAGTGATAGCATTTTAAAGACAAAAGTTAGATCTGACTGGGCACAGTGACACATGTGTTTGATCCCAGCACTTGGGAGTCAGAGGAATCTCTATGAATTTGAGAATTCCAGAACAGTCAGGGTGATATAGTGCTGTCTCAAAAAACTAAAACAAACAGAGAAAGTTCCCTAAAGTACAAGACCTGGGTGAATATATGATTGGTTGCACCCTAATTTCAGTTTGAGTTACCCATCAGGCATTTTTGGCTTAGGAAATCACAAGACTCAACCAAGCAGAAGAAAATTTATCTTTGCATGCCAAACTGTGACAAATGGCATTTTATAATCTTGAGAATGGCAAATCCAATTCAAAGAGTAAAATCATAAGCTTATGAATCTAGGTTAAAAATAAAAAGATAACACATTCACACATTTAAAAATTACATTTAAGAATGGGACAGGGACTAGAGAGATGGCTCAGTGTTTAAGAGTACTGACTGCCCTTGCAAAGAACTTAGGCTCAATCTCAACACAGACATGGTGGCTCACAGCCATCTGTAACTCCAGTTTCCAGGGGACCCAGCACCCTCACTCAGACATAAATGCAGGCAAAAAACCAATGCACATAAAATAAAAATAAATAAATTATATATATAAAGGATCAGTGTGGCGGTGCATGCCTTTAAAAAAATGGGACAAGGGTTAGGGACTTAGTTTGGGGTAAAAGTATGTACTTGGCATGAGCAAAGCCCAGGTCTGATTACTAAAGTCACACATTAATAATAGAATAATAATGACAACAGAAAGAGTGACATTTGTATCTTGTCTAATTGGAGTTCTTGTCCTATGCTGTATGCTCTGCAGCCTTTCCACAAGGACGAAGCACAAACACAAGCCTCAGATGTATTCTTCTTCTCTACAGTCTTTAGGAAAGCATCTGTTGACTAAGAGTGCGTTTTGAAAGAGCATTTCAACATTTTCCATCGACCTTGCTAATTGTGAGCAGCCACTGAAACTACTCACAGAGCTTCAACACTGACAAATCCTGGGGACCTGTACTTGGCTCTTTCTCTGTAATCAGCAGAAACAAAAAGATGTAGTCAACTATGAAAGCCCAGCTCTGGCCCCACTCCCACTCGCTCCAAGTGGGGATACTAAAGTCCTTAGAACATACTGTTCTCAGAATCATCTCGCTGGACAAAGTTATGGTTCAAGTCTTTGTTCAGATTCTATGTGGAGATGAAGATCTGGTGATAGAAAGAAATCCATGTTTTCATCTGAGTACAAGGCCCACGTGTGCCTACTGCTTGTGGGAGCCGTGAGTAGTCAGAGAAGGAAAGCTACAAATGGAAGGGGGCCACACGGGAGAGAAGGAAAGGTAAAAAAGAGAAGGAAGCCGGGCTTAACAAATCGTTTACTATGGTAAGAAATTACAGGGTCATCGGGCACAGCCTCAGATCCAATAGTAACTATGGCCATGCTGCCAGAAAGAAGGGGGCGTTTATTATTGGTCCACCGTCACTTCTGGTGACTTACTCAGAACCAATCAGTGGGCTGTCCCTAGTGTAGCCCGTGGCTGATTCTCGGGAGGTATATGGCCAGCTTTGGGCTGATCTGACACCTGGTCAAGAGATCATTTTGCCCAAACTCGTTCCTTCCTCTCCTGGTCCCTAGGATTCTAATTCAGGCAAACACACACACTCCGAAGGGAAAAGAAAGCAACCTGCCCTTTCAATTCTCTGCTTTATCACCTGCACAGACAGAGGAGCGAATAACAGCTGAGAGAGCACGCAGCGGGACTACAGATACAACTCCGGTCGGGTTCAGAGATCAAAAAGTGCAGTCTTCTGTAGTACCTCAAGGACTGAAAGCGAGTAGCTAGACAAAGGCTGGCTCTAAGCGTGGAAGTGGAGGAAATGGCGTTGAGGGTTGCACTCCACGTTAGGGTCTGAAGCCCGCCGTGCTCTCGGGCTTCCCCTGAGCCAGAAGCCGGTGGCGCTAGAGGAAAGGTAGGCCAGAAGAGCAAAGCAGGATGCTGGGACCGGGGTTCTCACACTACCACCGGTGGTCGGTCTGTCTGTCTCTGTCTCTGTCTCTGTCTCTGTCTCTCTCTCTCTCTGTGTGTCTCTGTCTCTCTCTGTCTCTCTGTCTCTGTCTCTCTCTGTCTCTCTGTCTCTGTCTCTGTCTCTCTCTCTCTCACTCTCACTCTCTCTCAGGAAAAAAAGAAAGGATGAGCTTCAGTGGAGATTCTTGTCCTCTCAAAAAGACCTGGCAAGAAAAAGCAATACATTCGCACAGACCTGAATTTTGGCTTGAGCAGGTAGAAGATGAAGGGAAGGCAGAGGAGCACCAGGAACACAACCATCTCAGCACCGCCGTAGCACAGTGGAGGTTGATGCTCCAGTAGCTGGTCCACTATGGCTTCTTTCCTAAACACACCCCGATTCAGTTGCAAACGCCCGGGAGCAAAGCCCTCTGGGAAATGTAGTCCAGGATTTGGCAGCCACCTAGCGGCGTACTTTCTTGATGTTACTTCCAAGCACTGAGACTTGGGAAAAAGCAGGGTGGAGAGGCAATATGCAATGGCCTAGGCCCTGGGATCATTGAGCCAGCCCCTCTGCTGCCCTCTGTTCACTAAAGATTCTTTGGAAATTGCCCCAGTTTGTTTTCTCCTGGAGCCAAAGTCCAGTGCTTCGTTCAATTTTCCCCAATCATAATTAGGAAATTACCACATTTTGTCTGGGAGATAGCGTCTGCTAAGTATTCTGAGGCCGAGTACACATGAAAGGAGCCGTTAGTCTGACAGTTGGTGAGGTGAAAGGCACCCTTTCTCAGAGACTCCTTGTCCTATGGGGGCAAAGCCGGGTGTGGGTGGTGCACGCCTTTAATCCCAGCACTTGGGAGGCAGAGGCAGGCGGATCTCTGTGAGTTCGAGGCCAGCCTGGTCTACAGAGCAAGTTCCAGGACAGCCTCCAAAACAATACTGAGAAACCCTGTCTCGAAAAAAAAAAAAACATGCAAAAAAAAAAAAAAGACTTTGCCTGAGAGAAGTATTGTTGTGTCTACTTTAAACTATGATGGTATCCATTGTACTTGATTATTACTTGATAATAAAATAATAGTTTTTTATGACTGTGTCACGTGTTAATCCTCAAGTTAGCAATGAATTTCTCAGATTGGCACAGTTGGTTTTGTCAATTTATGAAAATATTTAATCCTGTCAAACTAGGGCCTGTAACATTTCTCTGGGAACAGGCAAGCTCCCTGTTCAAGCTTTTCTTTCATCTGAGGTCTATTTTGTGGGAAAGAACATGGTTTAAGTTTCAGCAAGTCATTATCTATCTGTGGTTTCCCATCTACACTAATAGTTTCTGGTTCTTTTGCTCAATTGATTTCCATTTAGTTGGAAGACACCTGTTCCATGGTCAACTTGAAGCAATATGTTGTATAGTAACTGGAGAGGGGGTTCCTCTTTACACAATACATATTCTTACAGGTTTAGCATTAGATTATCTAGTAATCATCAGCTTTTGTAACTTTGTCATTGTGATGTCATTTGGATAGCAGCTCACAGCTCCATAAAAAGCCTTTCGTGTGTTTCCTTTTTTACTACTCGTTTTACAAATGTTTACCGGTATTCCTCTGTGAACTGGACTTGCTGAACCCAAAGGTGGGCAGACAGATATAACCTCTGCCCTTGCAAGCTTAAAGGACGTCGGGGAAACCCTTAAAGAGGGAATTGCCGTAAATAGATCATGGGAAGGTTGCGGAGGAGAACAGAGAAAGCTCTGGCAGTTGACAAAAGGCAGGGCTGGCTAAAGTCCTGCTCTATAAAGCTGTAAGGGCCACTTTGAGAAAATAGCATTTGAGCTGAGGCCCCAGGGGAGGTCGAGATTAATGCACATCAACACATAGTGCTACAATTAAAAAAAGAAAAAAGAAAGAAAAGCGGCTGAAGGGGAAAAGATGCTACAAGACAGAGCTCACGTGGAGAGGTTTTTATTAGGGAAAGGGCATGGGGAAAGGGGGGAAGGGAGAGACCGGCCTCTGAGGACAGGAGCAATGGAATAGAAAAGAGAGGCAAAGAGAGGATGGGGGGGACAGAGAGACAAGCAGAGAAGCAGAGAGAGAAAGAGAGAAAAATGGGATGTGGGCAGGGCCCTTATAAAAAGGGAACATAGTGGGTGTGCACAGGTAGTGCTCCTAGTGAGTGCAGCTGAGGGCATATTCTGTCAGAACCCCAAGATCAGGCCAGTACAGATGCCTCAATACTAACACATAGGAGCACACAGAGGAAAGGCCCCCACAACAAAGGGCTTAGAGTTGGGAAAAGCAGGGTAGAGTGCAGAGGACTTGGGGACAAGGAGGAGAGCGGGAAGTGACACTGACCAATGTTTATATAGTGGCAAATCATGGCCATAGAATATATATTCTCCTTCTCCTTTATATTCTCTCCTCTCCACACCCCATTGCTAAATTGCCTCAGCTAACCTCAAATATATTAGCTCATTAAGTTCTTAAAAAGTTTTTAGATTTATGTATATGAGTGGCTTTTCTGACTGTAGGTATGTATGTGATATAGTTGAAAAATTAGAGTCATTGTATCTAGGGTAAATATTAGAATGAAATAGTTGTTTTTGATATATCTAAGGTAAACATCAGAATGAATAGTTGTTTTCTAAAAGTACTTAGGCCTTGAAGAAGTCATCGTGAATAGCAGTTTTCTGCTCTCTATGGAGTTGTTTTTCTGAAGGAGCTTTACTGCCTTTGCACGATGTTGGTCACAAGACAGTCCTAGCACACCTGCAGTGTCTTGCATTATTGGGCACTACCAAGAGCACACAATAAGGACTAGGATTGCAGGTGTGTGATGTTTCCTTCAGAAAATGTAAAGATTAGATCAGGGGCTGTAGTATGAGAAACTTGTTTTACCCAAGACACAACGTTCATGTAACAATCAATAAATACGGCTTTGCATGGCTGTTCGGGGTTCAGTCAGTTCATAGAAATTGTTCTCCCCTCTGTGAAAGAGCCTGAATTGCAACCTGGGGCGACCCTCTTTCTTCAACTGACCGAAGCAACGCAGGACACCTGACAACACGATGTGCACGCCTGGTGCTCAAGGAAGTCAGAAGAGGGAACTGGATCCCCTGGAGGTGGGATGATTGACAGTTGTGAGCCACCAAGTGGCTGCTGGGAACTAAACCCTGGTCCTCTGCAAAAGTAACAAGTGCTCTTAACCCCTGGACCATCTCTTCAGTTCTGACTCTTTTAATTCTCTTGTTTGCTTGTTTGCTTGTTGGTGGTGGTTTTTTGAGACAGGGTTTCTCTGTAGCCCTGGCTGTCCTAGAACTCACTTTGTAGACCAGGCTGGCCTTGAACTCACAGAGACACATCTGCCTCTGCCTCCTGAGTGCTAGGATTAAAGGTGTGCACCACCTCTGCCCAGCTTGTTTGTTTGTTTGTTTTTGAGACAGTTTGTTTATCCTTGACTGTCTTGCAACTTACTTTGTAGATCAGGCTGGCATTGAACTCATAGAGATCCATCGGCTTATGCTTCCCTAGTGCTGGGATTAAACAATATGGCCCACCACACCTGGCTAACTCTTTTAACTCTGTGTGAAACAGATACTATAATTTTTCCCCATTTTTACCAACAAGGAAGCTAAAGCTCAGCTAAAGCATTAAGTTAGTCAGAGTGGGGTAGCAGAGCTGGGGCCCACACTTTAACAGGTGATGTCCTGGGCTTCTGTCCTTAACATTACACCATATTGTCAAAAGATGAATCTGGAAGCCTTATCGCTGTACAAATACTTATTTTCATATCCATAATATATTAGCATATAATTTCAGGTGACTTGATCCTTATTCATGAGATCTAAAAAACATCAGTTAAGGGTCTGGCAAAGGGGCTCAGGAGTTAAGAACACTGGCTGCTCTTCTGGAAGACCTGGGTTCTGTTCCCAGCAATCTCGAGGTGGTTCACAACCTCCTGTGACTCCAGGTGCAGGGATTCAATGGCCCCTTCTGGCCTCCTCATGATGCACAGACATGCGTGAAGGCAGAACAGCCACGTGTCCTTGGATTTTCTTTTACCAGCCTCACGTTGGCACCAAAATGTTTTTTACTCTTTATACTCTTTGCCCTCTTTGACTCTTTTCTCTTCTGCGGACTCACCACCTAGCCCCCCAAATAAATCATACACAAAGTCTTCTTTCTTATAAATTCCCAGCCTTAGCTTGGTTTATTTCTTGTTAGCCTGTCTTAACTGAAATTATCACCACTACCTTTGCCTCTGGCATTTTTCCTTTTCTTATTTCCTTTTCTTACTTTCCTTTTCTTCCGTAATTAAATGTCTTACTTTCACTCTTACTCGGTGGCTGGGTGGCTGGGTGGCTGGGTGGTGGGTGGCTGGGTGGCTGGGTGGTGGGTGGCTGGGTGGCTGGGTGGCTGGGTGGCTGGGTGGCTGGGTGGCTGGGTGGCTGGGTGGCTGGGTGGCTGGGTGGCTGGGTGGCTGGGTGGCTGGGTGGCTGGGTGGCTGGGTGGCTGGCCCCTGATGTCCTCCTCTCCTTGTTCACTCTTGCTCCTCCTTTTCCTTCTCTTCCCAGATTTCTCCTCCTACATATCCTCTCTGCCTGCCACCCCCATCTACCCTTTCTCCCGCCTCACCATTGGTCATTCAGCTCTTTATTAGACCATCATGTGTTTTAGACAGGCAGAGAATCACAGCTTCACAGAGTTAAACAAATGCAGCATAAAAAAAGCAGCGCATCATTATATCATTAAACAAATGTTCCACGGCATAGACAAATGTAACACCTCAAAATAATACTCTACAACATCCATGTGCATAAAAATAAGAATTAAAAAACAGAAACATTGGTTAAGCTGAGCATGGTGGCACACACTTTTAATACCAGCTCTTAGGAAGCTGAGGTAGTTCAATATCTGAGTTCCAGGCCAGCCAGCCTGGTCTAAATAATGAGTTCTAGGACAACCAGGGATATACAGAGAGAACTTATCTCAAACTCCCCATAGCAGCAATAATAATAATAATAATAATAATAATAATAATAATAATATAATAAATGTAGGTCAGTCCCTTAGCGATGCTGTTTCAGAGCAGGACCTGGAGAATCATAAAGGAAGCAAATAGTGGTATGGAATGGGGCTGAAAAGGGCCAGAGAAACTGAAGATGTATCCGGTTTAATCTGGAGAGAGACACACAGAAAGAGGTGTTTTTAAAAATTCTTAATTAAAACTTTACAAAAGTTTGTATATGAATGTTTTGCCTGTATGTATGTCTGTGTGCGTGCCTAGTGCCCATGGAGACCAGAAGAGGCCAGCAGATCCCCTAGAATGGAGTTCCAGATGGTTGTGAGCTACCGTGTGGTTGTTGGGAATCCAAGCCATCTCTCCAGGCCCCAGAGACAAATCTTTTAAATGATCAAGTAATTTGAGCAAATGTAATACAAAACAGAGAGAACAATCAGAAACACTAAGGGAAATCTAATTAAAACCGCAATAAAATACCACTACACTGCAAGAATGGCCAAAGTCAAAAGGCTGACCACACCAGTGTTGATAAGAATATAACCGAAATTATTGCTGAGGGAGGAGAGCCATATTACACCTCAGTGGTATAGCCACTGATAAATTTTTGTTGCTCAAGTAAATAATCCTCACCTATGCTCATGCATGTAACCATAATTAAATGCAGTAGACTCCCCACAGACAAAAATAGGGAAGATGAAAGGTTTCAGTGGAAGGGGGAAGGCAATATG